GCGCAGGAGATGTTGTCAGCCACCAGCTCACCAGCAGGGGGAGCACTGTCTGGCTCAGGGTTGTCGCCGATCCCAATACAGACGGATCACTAAAAGGCATCCCCACCTACGTGCAGTGAGTTTGGAGGGCCTCAGCCTGATTCGTAGCGGACCGGTGCCCACAGCACAAACCCGCTATCCTGGCGGGCACCGACTGGGCAGTGTAACGCGCATGGGGGCACAATGTCTGCTGCTGAGCAAAGAGGCCACTGGGCTACGGTAAGAAACCAGAGAGAGGTGGGAACAGAGCCAGGGTTTGTCAGAGGCGCTTCTGTGCCCCCCCCCCCCTTCATCACAATACCCCTGTGGGGCAGGGCAGTGCTCTTAGCCCCGCTGTCCAGATGGGGAAACTGAGGCACGGAGCGGCTAAGTGACTCACCCAAGGTCACACAGGGAGTCAGTATCAGAGTAGTGAATTGAACCAATGGGGTCCTAACTCCTAGGCTGGCACCCTAACCACGGCTCCATCTAGTCCAGGATTCTCTCTGTCACGCTGGCCAGCACCAGCTGCTTCAGAGGAAACCTTGCAGGAGGCAGCTTTGGAATAAATTGCTTCCTGACCCCTATCAGGGAGACATTGGCTCGGGCCCTGAAGCAGGAGAGTTTATAAAGCCCTTCCTGTCTCATCCAAGGCCCTTGCCCCAGAGTAGCCTTTCTTCTCCGAGCCATGGTTTCCTCAGGCCAGTCAAGACCAGCTCTGAGAGGAAGGGACTGGGTTTCTATCGGCTCTTGCAACTTAAAGTCTGAGCTCGGCCTGTCGGAGCCAGATGGCTTCTTGATTTAAAATCGACGCAAATCATTTTCTAATTATAGATTCCAGCCAGGGGCGGGTCTGCCCCTGGGGGCTCCGGGTGGACCCGGAGTTGTGTGTTGTTTGCACGGAGAAGCCAAACGCTCATTAGGGGATTTGAGAGCCCGCCCCCACTCCAGCTTTTTTCTTTTTAGAAAGTTTTATGTTTTTATTCTAGTCTCGCACCCTCCAGGCAGCCAAAGACTCTCTCCGCCTGCACGGGCGCATCGCCCTGCCTTGTACCATCCGAGACCACTTTGCTATGGAGAGGCAGCGGTCCTAGTCGTGAAAGGAAGGCACTGGGAGACCGGACGCCTGGGTCCTCCTGCATCACCAAATCACTTTGCCTCCCCGGGCCTCCTTTTCCCACTCGTAAAAATATGGATAACGATATCTAATGTGGCTCTATTGGTTACGTTTTACAAAACCCTTTGAACCCCTCGTGTGCACAGGGCTGATTATTATTATAATATTATATCTATTATAATGCACAATTCGTTCACTCTCTCGTTACCCTATGATTCAATCTGTCCCTCTGCAGCAACTCATTTTCCCTTGCCACTGAACCTGGGATCCTCAGCCCAGCCCCCTACTCTCCGCCTGACCCCACCGCCCCAAAGCCCTCAGTGCCGATGCTGGACTTCTGCAGCACGTCGCCCTCCATTGGGACCGCTTTGCTAGCCAAGTACAGGGCGGGGATACGCCTCTTGGCCTGGCTGGCTCGGTTCTCCAGTGCAAAGGACGATGCTAGAGGAATTGTTAATGTGCACTTTATCCAGGGGGGTTGCGTTGCCGTGGGGACGCGGCAGTTTTGAGCCCTGCCGCTCGCCCTCACACAGCGAAAAGGGGAACCTGAACAGAGCGTGCTTAGAATAAGCCTTTGCCCTTCCCTAAAGCCTTCCATGCAAGGATCTCCAAGTGCTAGCCAAGCATTACCGCCATTGTGCAGGTGGGGAAACCGAGGCACAGAGGAGGGACGTGACTTAGCCAGGAATAGAACCTAGGAGTCCTGACTCCCAGATCGCCATGTACCTTGCGGGGTCTCTGCTTCACTGCAGAGCTTCCGCTGTGAATGTTCTTCACCCAGCTCCTCCCTGCCACTGATACACAGGTGTAAATAACAAATCAAGGCTCAGCACAACTATGAGGCAGCCTCACAATTGTGAGAGGGGAATGAGGCCAAGTGGGGCCAAAACGCGGACTGTCCAGCCGCGTCTTAGCCTCCTGTGCTGGGAGGTGGGAACCGTTATACAGTTGTGCCTGGAGGTTTCCGTCAGAAATCAGGACTAGAGCTAGCCAACATTTTTCAACTGCAACTTTTTTCCCAGTGAAAAGCTCAGATTTGGCGACACCGAAACATGTTGTGAATTTGCGTCAGTTTCATTGAATCGTTTTGTCAGGGGGAAAAAACAAGAAAGACATTCTGGAAAAATCCCAACCTTTCATTTTGCACATTTTCACAAGGCAACATTTTGATTTTTTTTCCATTCAAAGCAGCTGGTCATTTAGAACATGTCTTTCATTTTAATTTTTAAAAAAATGAAGGAAAAAAACAGGAGAAAATGCTCCGAATCGAAACAAAACTTTTTGTGTGACCCAAAGTGATTTTTTCCCCCTGGCTTCTTGATTCACTGAAAATATCAAACAAATTTCGGCTTAATCTGAAACACATTTAAAAAAAACTTTTTCGGACTAGCCAGTGAGCTACGATTTTCCCAGCTTGAATCAGGGTCCTGTTATATGAGCTAAAAGGGATAACTTGGCCTGCTAAACCCAGGGTTGTGAGTTCAATCCTTGAGGGGGCCACTTAGGGAACTGGGGTAAAAATCTGTCTGGGGATTGGTCCTGATTTGAGCCGGGGGTTGGACTAGATACCTCCTGAGGTCCCTTCCAACCCTGATATTCTATGATAGCTGGTGCTGCACATAGATTCTAGGACTGGAAGGGACCTCGAGAGGTCATCAAGTCCAGTCCCCTGCCCTCATGGCAGGACCAAATACTGTCTAGATCATCCCTGATAGACATTTATCTAACCTACTCTTAAATATCTCCAGAGATGGAGATTCCACAACCTCCCTAGGCAATTTATTCCAGTGTTTAACCACCCTGACAGTTAGGAACTTTTTCCTAATGTCCAACCTAAACCTCCCTTGCTGCAGTTTAAGCCCATTGCTTCTTCTTCTATCCTTAGAGGCTAAGGTGAACAAGTTTCCTCCCTCCTCCTTATGACACCCTTTTAGATACCTGAAAAACCTGATGGTTAAAACTATTAATGTATAACACATAATTATTAATA